TACGGCGCTCTTTCCAGCTGGAATACACACCAAAAAAATGAACTTTTACTGCTCATCTTGCTGGAATGTGGAGTTTAGTGCCCAGCCCAGCGCTGAGCCACACGAGGTGAAGGTGAGGGAGTCAGGATTTGGCCAAGCAGAAGCTTTGCCTCATTGAGCAGCTCGCCCAGGGGACTGATGGAGCAGAACAACTAATGAGCCATGCAGAAACAAATGGTTCTTCAACAAAAGGTAAATAAATCTGGCACTGGAGCCCAGGGCTGGGTGAAAATCAGGGGGTTTAAGTGCCCTCAATTCCCCCTGGAGTGGCCAGCTCAGAGCTTTTGCATTTGTTTCCAGGGGCAGAAGGGAAGCAGTGGCTTTGGGGAGGCTGGATGCAGAGAAAATTAATGTTCACACCATTTTCAGCTCATGTTCACACCATTTTCAAATAATGTTCACATCATTTTCAATTAATGTTCACCTATTTTCTAACGCATCTGGAACAAAATTTGGAAAAAAAATTGAGGGCAGGGAGTGAGTGGGATGCCCTCAGAGAGCCCTGATGGGATGGAGTGGGATAATGGGATAATGGGATGGGAAAATGGGATGGGATATGATGGGATATGAGGGGATGGGATGGGATGGATCCTGCAAGAATTCCACATCCAAGTGTGTTTAATCTCCAAGAACACACAATCACTGTCCATGTCTGAAGCAAATACACCCATGCCATACTCATCTCTAAAATCCTCTTTTCTCATGCTGTTCCCTTCACTGCCATCCACCTTGGGATTGCTGCTATTATGGGATTCCTCGCTGGGTTGATGCTTGGCCAATATTTGACTTCTCTTTTTTTGTCTCCTGTGAAAACCATCTGAAACTAAGCAGAAACTAACCTTGATTTATTTCTTTAATAAACAAAATTAAGATGGTGCATGTTAATAAGAATGAAAAGTATTCCCTAGTTGTTTTGTTTTTTTTTTTAAGTTTCCAAAAACAGTCCCATATCTCTGTCAAAGTTAATGTAACCAGAATTTCCATGGGAATTTCTGTCAGTCTGGGGAAACTGGAACTGGCTAATGTAAATAACTACAGCCCATCCTCCCACTGCTGTCCACATCACCTTGTGAGAAAGAAAATCCAGAAAGGAGAGTGTCATCATGGGGGTTTTGTGGATTACAACTCAGATGGGATAACAAAATTTTACAGGAACATTCTGTCAAAGCCAGACAGAAATTATTACAATGACAAATCATGACTTGAATTTCATGGGGCTCCATGCAAAACCCTTTTCTTCTTTGGCACAGGTTCCAAAATTACCTAAAGACACTGTAAGAACAGATCATTCTTTTATGATTTTATGAGTAGCTTTCTACATGGGCAAATAGTTTTACAGGCTGACATTTCTGTTTCTTTTAATAAGCCTAAGCATGTAAAATATGTACTTAAGGAGTACCTGGCCTGTATGTTTTGGCTGAGGTAGGACTGAGAATTAACTCCCAACTGCCTCTAAAATCCCCAAACACTCAAAAAACCATCTTGGATAACAAAACTCCCCTGTACCTTCCTGCACATGGCAACTCCATTTCACTGGGGTAGAAACTTCACAGCACAGCAACTCGTTAATATTAGCTGTTAAAATATTAGTTCATTTAATACAAAATAAGCTCCTATTTTATAAATGGAATATTTCTTCCAAATGATTCCAGATGGGCTTCACAATGAAACAGTGCCTGTGGAAGGACACAAACCACAGGCAGGCCGAGAGCACAGCCTTGCAAATATTGTACAGATTTTAGAGGAAATCACCACGTGTGTGGTCACAGGAGGAGTTCCATGAGCCTGGCAGGGAGATCATGTCCTGCCACTGGAACTGGTTCTCAGCTCTGTTCCTCCACCAGGGCCTGAGAAATCCCGGGACAGCACAGAGCAGGAGCATCCTCCCCCTGGAAAGACACTGGGAGCTCAGAGGGGTTCCTGTGGGCACACTGGATGTGACACAGATGCCATAACATTTCCATATTTATATCCATATTTCTGGGATCTATATCTGAATTTCTGGGGCTGGCAGTGCAGACAATGGGGCATTGAGAGTCAGGCTGCAAAGGCAACTGTGTCAAGGCTGAAGGGTTACAGCCACGGTGATTTAGGGAAGAGTCCTGTCAGCCTTGTCAGAAGCTGGCGTCGCCTTGGACCTTAATTTAACAATGCAATAAATCAGCCGAGTCTCAAGAAATGGTGAGCAACTGAATGCTGTGCGGTAGGGCACTGAACGGGCCAGAGGCAGCAGGGAATTCTCTGTTCCCGGGCCATTCCCAGCGAGGGGAGCGGGGCTCGCAGGGCAGAGCCGGGGCAGGCTCGGAGGAGCTGCAGGGCACCGGGGAGCTCCTTCTCTGCAGACACGGCAGGAGCGCTCGGGAAGGGAAAATCAACCCTGAAAACTCCCAGCTAAGGGATCTCCAGGGCTTTTAGCGCAGCCCTGTGTCTCGAGGCAGGATTAGCTTTATTTGTACTGCTCCTGAGCGATGCTTGTTTAACCTGCTCTGAGAAGTGCCGGTGACGGACACGGTGCGATCCTCAGAGCTGTCCTCACTCACAGGTACAACGCTATTTTGCTCCTCCCGTATTCCAGCGGTCCTGCAGGACAATGCAGGTCTGTTCTGTGCGTTTCACCATTTCTAGACTGGGTGATTGCAGCCTCGTCCCTCTGCCGGTGGCTCCTGACAGCAGAGTGACATTCCTGACTCCCTGGGATGCGCCGTGACCCCGAGGGCAGAGCCTGTCACTGGGGTGCTGCCTCATCATAAACAGGGACACGCAGACACTGGTGAGAGTGTCTGTGCAATTACTGACAGAAGAAATCGATAGATAAAAGAAACGTGGTGTGACTCACCCGAAGCTTGTCCTTCAGACAGCAAGTCCTGGCTGCAGCTTGCTCTGGGCTTATCAGGAACGGGAGCAGATAATGGGCTGAGCAAACAGGAGTGTGAGTGAGCTAACTGAGGGTCTGGCCGTGGCTTCTCCCCAAGGCTGCCCGCTGATAATGAAATGTGAGTGGCCTGCAGCTCCTCGTGTTTTGTCTGCTTCTCCCTGCGGGGAACGTCTCATAGTAAATGTGTCTGCACAAAGAGCAAATCCAGATAGAGCTGGCAGAGATAAACCCACTTTCATTCAAGTGAGACTTGGTTTGACCAATTTATAAGGAATTTTGATTCAGAGTGACGTTTTTGATGCTGGGTCAGTTTCATTTTGTTGCCTGGAATATTTTAATTTGGGTATTTTAATGGCAGAGCTCTGAGAATGAACCCGAAGTTACCAGAGCATCTCTGGTGACAGGAACACATCAGGCCCCTTTGAGGTTTTCCTTCAACGCTTTTTATGCAAATCAACATCAAAACAAATTGAAAGTCCTGAGCTGGTGTATCAAGTGAACCTCTGTAGGCAATAACTGTAAGAACACAAGCTAAGTGTTCTCATGTTTTGTGCAATAATTCCTGTCTGGCCCTGTAATCACTACTGCCTGCCCTTTGGCTCACCATAAAAAACAGGAATGGGAGATAAAATACCTCCTAAGAAGGACATATTATTACAGCTTTTCATCAGGGAATTCCTTGATCTCTGCTGGAATCAGAATTCTCTGCTGAGAGTCTGTGTCCCTGGACTCTTTGTGTGACAGTGGCACCTCCCAGGGTAATCTCAAACAGGAGCAGGAGTGTTACAGGTGAAGGTGTCACCCTGGGTTTGACAAGCAGTGCTCAAGCTGTAGAAATAGAGATACCGGGTCCTAAATAGTGAAAATGCTTTGTATTTTATTCAGGTGCTTTTATTTTATAGTTGCACAAGCCTGTCCTGCCGAGCTGGCTCTGAGCGGCGGGACAGCGGCGCCTTGTCCCGGGTGGCCGCCGAGCCTCGGGCTTTGTCCCGGAGCCGAACGAGCGGAACATCGTCCCTGCGTCCTCACACCGCTAATTAATCATCTCCGCGTGCCTCCTGCCCGAGGAGCTCATCGCTCGCTCCAAAGGCTTCTCTCCCTTGGCCAGAGACGCGTGATTTGTCCCCGGGAGGGACATCAGCACATCCCGGCGGGGACAGCCCTGCATGCCGGCGGGGACAGCCCTGCATCCCGGCAGGGACAGCCCTGCATGCCGGCGGGGATAGCCCTGCATCCCGGCGGGGACAGCCCCGCATCCCGGCGGGGACAGCCCTGCATCCCGGCAGGGACAGCCCTGCATCCCGGCGGGGATAGCCCCGCATCCCGGCAGGGACAGCCCCGCATCCCGGCAGGGACAGCCCCGCATCCCGGCGGGGATAGCCCCGCATCCCGGCAGGGACAGCCCCGCATCCCGGCGGGGACAGCCCTGCATCCCGGCAGGGACATCACCGCATCCCGGCGGGGACAGCCCCGCATCCCGGCGGGGATAGCTCCGCATCCCGGCGGGGACAGCCCCGCAGCGGAGCCGGGAGCACATTCCCTGTCCCTTCCTGCTTGGAGCATCCCTCGCTCGGGGCCGGGACAGCGCGGCCCCACCTCTGCCAGGGCGGGACACCCGAGCGAGACCGGGCCCGCACGGCCGGGATGGAGCGGGACCGAAACCTCCCCTGGAGCAGGGATGGAGCGGGACGGGGGTGAAGCAGGACCGGAACCCCTCGGCACGGACCGGATCTCCCTCTGGGCTTGGGACGAAGAGGGACCGAACCCCCAGGCGAGAATGGAGCGGGACCGGGGATGGAGCGGGGCGGGACCCACGGGCGGGGCTGAGGCGGGACCGGACATGGAGCGGGACCGGAGACGGAGCGGGACCGAACCCCCTGGCGGGAACGGAGCGGGACCGATGGGCGGGCATGGAGCGGGACCGGGAATGGAGCGGGACCGATGGGCGGGGAAGGAGCGGGACAGGGAATGGAGCGGGACCGATGGGCGGGGAAGGAGCGGGACCGGGAATGGAGCGGGGCGGGACCCACGGGCGGGGCTGGGCGGGCTCGGGGCGGGGCCGTTCCCGCGCGGGCTCAGTGCGCAGGCGCAGTGGCGGCGCGGCGGTGACGGTGGCAGTGACGGTGCGTGGCGCGCGCGGGCGGCGGGAACGGCCCGGCTCGGTCTGCCCGAGCCCACCGGGACTGGACACTGCCCCTCAAACCCACCGGGACACCCGGGGACCGGACACTGCCCCTCAAACCCACCGGGACCCCCGGGGACCGGACACTGCCCCTCAAACACACCGGGACCGGACGCTGCCCCCCGAACCCACCGGGACCGCCCCGGGCCAGATGCGGGCCTTGCAGCAGGGCCCGGCAGTCGTGAGGGCATCCCGGGACAGCCCTGAGGGATCCCGGTGTAGCCCTGAGGGATCCCGGGACAGCCCTGAGGGATCCGGAGCAGCCCTGAGGGCATCCCGGGACAGCCCTGAGGGGATCCCGGTGTAGCCCTGAGGGGATCCCGGTGTAGCCGCCGGAACCGCCCCCCCAAGCCCGCCGGAACCCCCGGGGACCGGACACTGCCCCTCAAACCCACCGGGACACCCGGGGACCGGACACTGCCCCTCAAACCCACCGGGACACCCCGGGACCGGACACTGCCCCTCAAACCCACCGGCACACCCGGGGACCGGACACTGCCCCTCAAACACACCGGGACCGGACGCTGCCCCCCGAACCCACCGGGACCGCCCCGGGCCAGATGCGGGCCTTGCAGCAGGGCCCGGCCGTCGTGAGGGCATCCCGGGACAGCCCTGAGGGATCCCGGTGTAGCCCTGAGGGATCCCGGGACAGCCCTGAGGGATCCGGAGCAGCCCTGAGGGCATCCCGGGACAGCCCTGAGGGGATCCCGGTGTAGCCCTGAGGGATCCCGGTGCAGCCCTGAGGGATCCTGGTGTAGCCCTGAGGGATCCCGGTGTAGCCCTGAGGGGATGGCTGCCCGCCGTCCCTCGGCACAGCGGATCCCGGTGTAGCGAAGAATCCTGCCAGGCCGCGGCTGTCCTGCAGAGTGACGGAGCCCCAGGGTGTCGGAGCTGGAAGGGACCCCCGGGATCCCCCGGTCCCGCCCGCAGCCCCACCCCGCTCTGGGAGCGCTGCCCGAACGCTGCTGGAGCTCACGCTGTTCACAGCGGCTCGTATTTAAGCACGTGAATGGTTTCTGCTTTTGTGCTCATTCCTCTGCTATATTCCTGAATGGATTCTACTCTTTTATTGCTGGCGTTTCCTTCATGAGCTCTGGGCTGAGGAGCAGCCCTGTGTGCTGTGCAGGGGATGCCCCAGAGGCAGATCGGAGATCTCCAGCACGTCCCTGCCTCTGTTTGTTTGGGGACAGAATTGCAGCATTAAACCTGTGTCACCCTGCAGGATCCACGGAGAATTTGCTGCTGTAGGAGGGGTCCTGCTGAAATACAAAAAAATGGGTGAACCTTGATTCCTAAGTGTTAAATCTTTTCTTTCCACTTCTTAGGAGAATAAATTAAGACATGGCAGAAGCAGCTTTTCACCCCCCAAGAAGGAAAAGAAGAGTTTTGGAGTCCTACGAGGCTCCCTTTCCCGTGGATGTGGGGGGGAAGGATTTCAGACTCTGCCAGGCTGAGATCATTAACAACAATGTGATTGTGAGGAACCCCAAGGATATTGAACAGCTCTACAACAAGGTGCTGCACCCTGTTTGCACAATATTTGTAGTGTTTTACATGCAGGTGAAACATGATACTGCTTCAAATCTGCTGCCTTTATCTTTCCTGCCCCTTCAGCCTCCTGTGATTCTCCATATTTCCCTTCTCACCTGAAATCAGTACAAAAAAAATATATTCTGCATAAAATGGGAAAAGTCATTCTTATCCAAGCAAATGAATTTTGGAATGAAGTGACATTGTGATCTAAGAAACAGCTGCAAAGCCTTCATGTTTGTGTCCCCTTTCAACATTTTGTGCAACTTTGCAAAGCATTTTCTTGTTTTTAAAGCTCAGGGGGTTGAAATATTAATGTTTTACAAGTATAATTTTTTTAACTTCAGAGTGATTTATTCCTGTGTGAAACAAGCTGTGTTCAGGTTGTTGTGTCTGAGTACCATTCTAATGCAGTGGTATCTCTTTGGTTTCAGGCGTTGTTTTCAAACATTTGCTGGGAGGTTTTGGCTGACAAATATTTGGAATTCAGGGGAAAGACCCAACACTCTCCAGGTTAAATTGGATTTAAAAACTTGGTTAAATCAGGTGTTTGACACTGAACCAGCAGCTGAACAAGCTTTAGGCAGGGCTGAAATGCTGCAGGAGCTCAGCTGTTCCAGCTGGTCTCACCATTCCACATTTTAGAACTGAGAGAGAAGTTAATTTTTATGCCATGAGATAATTTTGGTTTTTGCTGTCCTGTGCAGGGCTATTTTGGAAAAGGGATCCTGTCCAGGAGCCGGCCAGTGTTCAGCATTTCAGATCCTCTGCTGGCAGCCAAGTGGAGAGGTAAGTGGGGGCTGTTTACCTCACACTGCTCTGGTAGCTCTTCTCACCTTTCCTCACCTATTGAAGGTATATTTTTATAAATTACATGCAGAAGAATAATCTGCTGGATTGGATCAAGTGAAGGATATCTCTCTCCCCCTCTGTCGTGCCTAGGAAAAATCCAGGAATGTGAAATCCATGTGGATAATTCCTTAGTGCCTTCTCCCAAACCTTCACTGACTTGTTGCTTGGGAAGACTGAATTAAAGGGGTCGTCCTGGGGCTTCTTTTTCCCTAATTTTCCTTGGGTTTAACCTGCAGATTTCGGTGTCCCTGAAATGATGAGGGAAGGATTGGTGAAGTTTTCAGTCTGCTTGGAGCCAGTCACGCCCAGTCACTCTTGGCTGTTATGTAAAAACTCATTTTTCACTCACCTCTCCCATGACAGTGAAGTCCCAGAGGCCATCACTGGATTTATCCTGTCCCTCCATAATTGTCAGGAGAAAAAAGTGTGTTTAGTTCTTCTCTGTGCAGGCTGTTACATTTGTACCTTTCCTGGTTCTGCTGTGTCCCTGCTTGAAAAGTGGGACCAAAATGGCTTTGAGGACTGAAAATGGGGACAGTTCCCAGGCTGCAGATCACCCAGTGACCAAAATCACACAAAACCATCTTCACATCGATGAAACAATGTATGATTTTTCTTTACACAGGTGTGAAGACAAACATGCCCATAATTACATCTCAAAAGTAAGTGAATTTGCTTTTTTTTTTCTTGGTATTTTTAGGAAACAGATTGTTATGTTTATATTTCTCATGCTGCGTTTCAGGTTGTTGGCTGTATAAATAATGAGGCTGACTTGCTTCTATTTCTTTTCTCATTATTTCATTTATAAATCACTTTAGAAGAAGTAGAAATAGGGTAGGGCTGATACTCAGGGTGGTTTTGCATGGAGGCTTGTAGGTGTTAATTGCTGAATAGAAGCCAAGGCTGAGTGCATGCACAGAATGGGTAATTAATTAATAACAATTACAAGCACAATAAACATTCAGGTGAGGAGCAGGAAAAGAAGTTTCTGGGGCAGGCTATTTCAAATATCTCTTCCATTTCAATATTGGATTTTTATGGTGTAGCTGAAGCAGCTCTTGAACTTCTACAATACTTTGATATTTTACCTTTTTTTAAGTCTCAGTTAACATTGGTAGTTTGTACACTTAGCAGAACTTAGTGTTGGACCATTTTTTTTTTCTGCTTAAATAGTGTATAAACTATTAAGCATGTGCAGGTGAGTTGCTCAGTTGGTTTTAATTTTATGATAACTAAAAAATTCACTTGAATTTGAAAATTATGCTCCTGCAGCCCTTAATTTTAGGTGAGAAAAACAGTAACCATATTATTACTAATGCTGCTACATTTACTGCTGCTTGCAGAAACTGAGCATCAATAAAAGTGTGATTTTATTGGTGCACAAAATGCTCTGCCTCAGTAGAGACCTGCAAGTGCAAATTAAATGGTAATTAAATAATAGGACAGAGAGGAGTGTCTTTTATATAGCAAAGAGCACAGGCCTGAATTATCCAGCTTTATCAGGAGCCTGCAGGGGGACTTGCACTTGTGTTGACACATAGAATTTGCATTTAATGTCCTTGTTACCTGGGCTGAAATTGCTGCCTGAGGATTTTGTTCAGGGAAATAAAAAATACTATACAAGGTTTTCACCTTCACAGAGTGAAGAGTCATGTTTCAACTGACTTAATGTTATTTCAATAACATATTATGAATGTTATTAATAATTAATTAATGTTACTTTCCAAGAGAAGGAACTGAAAAGGCACTAAAAATTCTGTCATGATTGAAAACTATTAGAAATAGTAACTGAAAGTTGTAAATATCTCAGTGATGGGATCGTTGTCATTCCTCAGGGATTTAACTGAGGGGTGGATTCCAAAAGGTGCTTTCTGCAGGAGAATTTTCCTCTGGTGTTTCTGCTGTGCCGTTGCTGTTTCCAGGGCAGTTAAAGCAGAGTTTTGCAGCTCCTGCTCTCAGTCCTTGGCTGTGTAAAAGCTGAAGTTGGAGGGCTTTTGTTCCATGCTTCAATCCTGCAATTCCAATTCCAAAATTATGGAGAATTCAGGCTGAAGATTTTCCTGGGAGAAGGGATTTTCTGCCTGGTGAAGCTGCTGCTCCTTGAAGCTGCCCAGCAGCTTGGCAGGGCTCGGCAATGCTGTTTGCTGCCAGGGAAATTGAAAGGCCAGACAGAGGCCCAGGACAGGAGGCAGCAGAATCCTGGTGTTCATGTAGCTCCCTAAAAAGCTGGAGTGCCACTGCACTGATCACATTTGTGCCCAGCAGCTGCTGGGGGTGTCTGTGAAGTGTGCTGAACCTTCTGGGGATTAAAGTGTTAATGAAAGGATGCAGTCCCTGGAATTCCTCATTTCTGTGTTCCCAGGTACCAGCGCCGTGTGCAGTGGGCTCAAAGTGTCCTGCAGGAGCAGGGCCCCGGGACAGCCCTGAGGGGATCCCGGTGTAGCCCTGAGGGGATCCCGGTGTAGCCCTGAGGGGATCCCGGTGCAGCCCTGAGGGATCCTGGTGTAGCCCTGAGGGGATGGCTGCCCGCCGTCCCTCGGCACAGCGGATCCCGGTGTAGCGAAGAATCCTGCCAGGCCGCGGCTGTCCTGCAGAGTGACGGAGCCCCAGGGTGTCGGAGCTGGAAGGGACCCCCGGGATCCCCCGGTCCCGCCCGCAGCCCCACCCCGCTCTGGGAGCGCTGCCCGAACGCTGCTGGAGCTCACGCTGTTCACAGCGGCTCGTATTTAAGCACGTGAATGGTTTCTGCTTTTGTGCTCATTCCTCTGCTATATTCCTGAATGGATTTTACTCTTTTATTGCTGGCGTTTCCTTCATGAGCTCTGGGCTGAGGAGCAGCCCTGTGTGCTGTGCAGGGGATGCCCCAGAGGCAGATCGGAGATCTCCAGCACGTCCCTGCCTCTGTTTGTTTGGGGACAGAGTTGCAGCACTAAACCTGTGTCACCCTGCAGGATCCACGGAGAATTTGCTGCTGTAGGAGGGGTCCTGCTGAAATACAAAAAAATGGGTGAACCTTGATTCCTAAGTGTTAAATCTTTTCTTTCCACTTCTTAGGAGAATAAATTAAGACATGGCAGAAGCAGCTTTTCACCCCCCAAGAAGGAAAAGAAGAGTTTTGGAGTCCTACGAGGCTCCCTTTCCCGTGGATGTGGGGGGGAAGGATTTCAGACTCTGCCAGGCTGAGATCATTAACAACAATGTGATTGTGAGGAACCCCAAGGATATTGAACAGCTCTACAACAAGGTGCTGCACCCTGTTTGCACAATATTTGTAGTGTTTTACATGCAGGTGAAACATGATACTGCTTCAAATCTGCTGCCTTTATCTTTCCTGCCCCTTCAGCCTCCTGTGATTCTCCATATTTCCCTTCTCACCTGAAATCAGTACAAAAAAAATATATTCTGCATAAAATGGGAAAAGTCATTCTTATCCAAGCAAATGAATTTTGGAATGAAGTGACATTGTGATCTAAGAAACAGCTGCAAAGCCTTCATGTTTGTGTCCCCTTTCAACATTTTGTGCAACTTTTCAAAGCATTTTCTTGTTTTTAAAGCTCAGGGGGTTGAAATATTAATGTTTTACAAGTATAATTCTTTTAACTTCAGAGTGATTTATTCCTGTGTGAAGCAAGCTGTGTTCAGGTTGTTGTGTCTGAGTACCATTCTAATGCAGTGGTATCTCTTTGGTTTCAGGCGTTGTTTTCAAACATTTGCTGGGAGGTTTTGGCTGACAAATATTTGGAATTCAGGGGAAAGACCCAACACTCTCCAGGTTAAATTGGATTTAAAAACTTGGTTAAATCAGGTGTTTGACACTGAACCAGCAGCTGAACAAGCTTTAGGCAGGGCTGAAATGCTGCAGGAGCTCAGCTGTTCCAGCTGGTCTCACCATTCCACATTTTAGAACTGAGAGAGAAGTTAATTTTTATGCCATGAGATAATTTTGGTTTTTGCTGTCCTGTGCAGGGCTATTTTGGAAAAGGGATCCTGTCCAGGAGCCGGCCAGTGTTCAGCATTTCAGATCCTCTGCTGGCAGCCAAGTGGAGAGGTAAGTGGGGGCTGTTTACCTCACACTGCTCTGGTAGCTCTTCTCACCTTTCCTCACCTATTGAAGGTATATTTTTATAAATTACATGCAGAAGAATAATCTGCTGGATTGGATCAAGTGAAGGATATCTCTCTCCCCCTCTGTCGTGCCTAGGAAAAATCCAGGAATGTGAAATCCATGTGGATAATTCCTTAGTGCCTTCTCCCAAACCTTCACTGACTTGTTGCTTGGGAAGACTGAATTAAAGGGGTCGTCCTGGGGCTTCTTTTTCCCTAATTTTCCTTGGGTTTAACCTGCAGATTTCGGTGTCCCTGAAATGATGAGGGAAGGATTGGTGAAGTTTTCAGTCTGCTTGGAGCCAGTCACGCCCAGTCACTCTTGGCTGTTATGTAAAAACTCATTTTTCACTCACCTCTCCCATGACAGTGAAGTCCCAGAGGCCATCACTGGATTTATCCTGTCCCTCCATAATTGTCAGGAGAAAAAAGTGTGTTTAGTTCTTCTCTGTGCAGGCTGTTACATTTGTACCTTTCCTGGTTCTGCTGTGTCCCTGCTTGAAAAGTGGGACCAAAATGGCTTTGAGGACTGAAAATGGGGACAGTTCCCAGGCTGCAGATCACCCAGTGACCAAAATCACACAAAACCATCTTCACATCGATGAAACAATGTATGATTTTTCTTTACACAGGTGTGAAGACAAACATGCCCATAATTACATCTCAAAAGTAAGTGAATTTGCTTTTTTTCTTGGTATTTTTAGGAAACAGATTGTTATGTTTATATTTCTCATGCTGCGTTTCAGGTTGTTGGCTGTATAAATAATGAGGCTGACTTGCTTCTATTTCTTTTCTCATTATTTCATTTATAAATCACTTTAGAAGAAGTAGAAATAGGGTAGGGCTGATACTCAGGGTGGTTTTGCATGGAGGCTTGTAGGTGTTAATTGCTGAATAGAAGCCAAGGCTGAGTGCATGCACAGAATGGGTAATTAATTAATAACAATTACAAGCACAATAAACATTCAGGTGAGGAGCAGGAAAAGAAGTTTCTGGGGCAGGCTATTTCAAATATCTCTTCCATTTCAATATTGGATTTTTATGGTGTAGCTGAAGCAGCTCTTGAACTTCTACAATACTTTGATATTTTACCTTTTTTTAAGTCTCAGTTAACATTGGTAGTTTGTACACTTAGCAGAACTTAGTGTTGGACCATTTTTTTTTTCTGCTTAAATAGTGTATAAACTATTAAGCATGTGCAGGTGAGTTGCTCAGTTGGTTTTAATTTTATGATAACTAAAAAATTCACTTGAATTTGAAAATTATGCTCCTGCAGCCCTCAATTTTAGGTGAGAAAAACAGTAACCATATTATTACTAATGCTGCTACATTTACTGCTGCTTGCAGAAACTGAGCATCAATAAAAGTGTGATTTTATTGGTGCACAAAATGCTCTGCCTCAGTAGAGACCTGCAAGTGCAAATTAAATGGTAATTAAATAATAGGACAGAGAGGAGTGTCTTTTATATAGCAAAGAGCACAGGCCTGAATTATCCAGCTTTATGAGGAGCCTGCAGGGGGACTTGCACTTGTGTTGACACATAGAATTTGCATTTAATGTCCTTGTTACCTGGGCTGAAATTGCTGCCTGAGGATTTTGTTCAGGGAAATAAAAAATACTATACAACATTTTCACCTTCACAGAGTGAAGAGTCATGTTTCAACTGACTTAATGTTATGTCAATAACATTAAATGTTATTCATGTTATTAATAATTAATTGATGTTACTTTCCAAGAGAAGGAACTGAAAAGGCACTAAAAACTCTGTCATGATTGAAAACTATTAGAAATAGTAGCTGAAAGTTGTAAATATCTCAGTGATGGGATCGTTGTCATTCCTCAGGGATTTAACTGAGGGGTGGGTTCCAAAAGGTGCTTTCTGCAGGAGAATTTTCCTCTGGTGTTTCTGCTGTGCCGTTGCTGTTTCCAGGGCAGTTAAAGCAGAGTTTTGCAGCTCCTGCTCTCAGTCCTTGGCTGTGCAAAAGCTGAAGTTGGAGGGCTTTTGTTCCATGCTTCAATCCTGCAATTCCAATTCCAAAATTATGGAGAATTCAGGCTGAAGATTTTCCTGGGAGAAGGGATTTTCTGCCTGGTGAAGCTGCTGCTTCTTGAAGCTGCCCAGCAGCTTGGCAGGGCTCAGCAATGCTGTTTGCTGCCAGGGAAATTGAAAGGCCAGACAGAGGCCCAGGACAGGAGGCAGCAGAATCCTGGTGTTCATGTAGCTCCCTAAAAAGCTGGAGTGCCACTGCACTGATCACATTTGTGCCCAGCAGCTGCTGGGGGTGTCTGTGAAGTGTGCTGAACCTTCTGGGGATTAAAGTGTTAATGAAAGGATGCAGTCCCTGGAATTCCTCATTTCTGTGTTCCCAGGTACCAGCGCCGTGTGCAGTGGGCTCAAAGTGTCCTGCAGGAGCAGGGCCTCGACAGCTGCTCCATCACCAAAATGCTGGAGAGTTACACCAAACCCCTGGGGCTGCCCTTCCGCGGGGGGGCTGGGGCTGCACAACCTGGGGCCAGCTGCAGCAGAGGGGGCCCGGGAAATGCAGAGCTGTGCAGGAAATCTGCTGGCAGCGAAGGAGCACAAAGCCCTGAGCATCAGGAGGGACGCTCCAAGGAGGGAGATGATGCAGCCCTGGATCGTGGGAGTGGCTCCGGGAACCAGGAACAGGGCCATCCCAGGGAAATGGCTGAAGGGTCCTGCCACAGCGACCCTCCTGTGCTCTGGGGCTGCGAGGGGAAGCAGAGCCCTGAGCAGAGCGCTTGGGAGGGGATGGACTCAAGGGAATGTGCTCCAGAATATGTGCTGGTGCAAGAGGAGGAAGAAGGCAGCTCCTGTGCTGAAGGTGACTCCACTCATGCGCAAGAGAATGTAAGAAAAAAAGATCTAATCTTTTAGACAAAGCTGCTTTCAGAATTCAGTATTTTTTCCAGTTCAACATTTTAATAATAGTCAATTTTTCTTGTAGCTTGTCAAGAAGGAAGTACTAGTATGCAGAAAAAACCCATTTAGCATTTTTGAGTACTTACAACTCAGCCTGGAAGAGGTATGTGTCAAGCACAGTGCAAGTTAGTTTGTCTTTCATGTGAAAAAGTAAACCTTAATCTATGTTACACTGTCATTGAAAATATGTTTCTAAAATACAGGGTCCTGTGTCTCCTAAGCACCTGGATTGTCTTAGTCATTAAACTTAGCTTTAATATGCTGTGATAATTACATGAGATGGTTAAATATAGGGTCCAATCCTATTTGCTTTAGGTGAGTAATCCCACTGACACAGAGGCCAGTGACAGGACTTAAATATAGCAATACCAGGAATACAACATTTATATGAATACTTTTCAATTCTGCTGCTTCTAATTATATTTATGTGTCATTTTTAACACCACGCCTTCAGCAGGGATGACATTGGAAAAACTTAATGAAGCCTTTGTTCTTGCAAGGCTCTGTGTACAAACTACAAGAGGAATGTAGCTATCAGTTAAACTGCCTCTGTTTGTTTTTGTTTTTTCAGGCTTTTTTCTTGGTGTATGCTCTGGGATGTTTAAGTATTTATTATGGTGAGGTAAGAGATTGGATTCATTTTGGATTACTGGGGATGCTTTTTCTCTGGGTATGGTTTGGTCTGAATCTTCACCTATATGGCAGTGATTTGTGCTGTTAATTCTGGAGAAGGAAATAACAAACAGAGAAATTGGGAAGATTTTCTTACAAGTAATGGTATTTATTTCAGAAATTAGCTTTCAGACCGGTATTATTTAGGAAATACAAGTCTGAAAGCTTTAAGTTTAGCAAGACCAATATAATTAAGCACTGTCTGTCTGCAGAGAAAGGATTTTTGTTGTAACTTGGGCAGGAAATATATGAGAAATAATATGGTAAATAATCACACCTGAGATGGCAAAATTCTTTGGAGTTTTAAACATTAATTCTACCAAGCTATTATTCATGTAATGCCATAATAATTCAAATCTGTGCTTTTAGTTGAAGATTTATCAGCCTTTCCCTTAACAGGGAGGGATGTTGTGGGACTGATTGTGAACTGCCTAAAAGAGCCACTAAGTGGAGCAGCAGGTTCCTGCCTTGGATTCAGGGTCTGTTTTACTGTCTGCAGTTGCTGCTCTGTGCAGCAGCCTGTGGTATTTGGTATTTGGCTGCTGTGCTATTTGTGTTTGTGGTGCTGTGCAGCAGAGCATGGCTGGTTCATCTCAGTGCAGTGACCTTGCTGTGTGGTTTGCAGGAGCCCCTGAGCATCGTGAAGCTCTGGGAAGTGTTCAGTGAGGTGAAGCCTGATTTCAAAACCACCTACATGGCCTACCACTACTTCAGGGGCAAGGGCTGGGTGCCCAAGGTGGGGCTGAAGTATGGCACGGATCTCTGTGAGTACCTCCCCCAAAATGGGATCATTTCCTGCTCACCCCTCCTCTAGGCAAGGCAGAACTCCAGAGAAGAAGTCGGTGAGGAGCTGCAGGGCTGGAGCAGCCTTTGCTGCTTGCAGTTGGCAAAGGACATTTGGGGTTGGCAGTGAAGTTGGGATGAGTGGTAAGGAACATCCCATATTCAGGAGGTGAAGAGACAGCTTGGAAGGTCTGGTTTGCTTCATGAGGTTCATAATTCCTACAGGATTTCACTGAAATTCCCTTCCCAACTTTCTCTGTCCTCTACTAAACACATCTGCTGCAGTGTTAACATAGCAGTCTCTAGAATAACAGGTTTGAGTCCAGATCCCAATTCCCATTGAAGTTCACGCACCTCATTCATCCCATTTAAGAGAAGCTGGACTTCTGCTGAGCTCACTGCTAGGACTCTTTCTTGGTGTGGGCTTTTTGGGGGAGCTAGAGAATGGACTTGGCTTTTTTGTATTATTGGTTGGGGTTTAATATTGCAGAAGTATTTAGTGGTGTCCTTGCTAAGGAGCTCAAGAAGCCCGTTTAGCTGGTGTCAGCGTGAGCAGTGCAGTAATGCCTGTTGCTGCAGGAGACGGGCATTGAAGCCAGGGGGTTGGGATGTGTGCAACCCAGCGGGTGTTTTCACCTGCTGAAGTGATGACACGTCTGGGGCGTGTGCTGAGCAAGTCCTTTAGGTCAGTGTGTAGCTCTGGCTGAATTCATCATCCCTGCCAAACATTCCATCCTCAACTCTTTCCTACAACACCTGCTAATTCCTCTGGTTCTTCTGCCTTTGACCTGCCACTGCCCTGCCCTGAGTCACTCTGCTGCTCTTCCCTCTCTCCACTTGCTGGGACAACCCAACTCCGAGCAGAATTCAGAAGAGTTGAAGTTTTGTCTTGGTAATTCAAATGTACAGAACATTTGACAACATTGATGGGCCCTGGTGTTAAACCCACTGAAACTCTGATGTGACTGAGGTGTGTCTCTTTCATTTCAGTGCTGTATCGGAAGGGGCCCCCGTTCTACCATGCCAGGTTTGACACTCCCGTTTCTGCCTCATTTCTTTAAGTTAAATTTCACTCACACCAATTTAGCACCTTCACTGCTTCAGCACATATTCATCACTCAAAATACGTTGTGTTCACACCAGGAATGTGAAAATCCTTTCAGCAGAGGAGCTAAGTGACACCAATTATTTGATTATAAATAACAGGCATTCAAAATTACAAGCTGCAGTGGATTTAGTACTCAGATGATGATGGACTCAGGAAAATAATTGGATTTTGTAATACTGACTTAGAAAAATACGTGGTCTGGGTAATTTATGTAATTTGGGAGAACTTTTAAGGGATGATAATTGTCTTTATTTGTTGGCTAGTCAGGTTGAACTCCTTGATAATAAATTGGTTATAAATGTCAGCTTGGCTTTGACAAAGAGAATGCTACAAACATCAGAAGGGTGGGGAGGAAAGGCACCACTGGGCACATCCAGAACTTCAGTATTTCTCCTTTTTTCCTTATAGAAAAAGACTCAATTTCACAGCTTGCAAGCTGGCAGATTGTTTAATGCCAGTTTTTCGCCCCAAGTTCTTGTGTTGTCTTCAGAAAATGCCAGTTTCCTTTCTGTGACTTGTCCTGCCTGCTGTGTTTTCCAGTTACTCTGTCATTGCTGAGTTGGTGGATGATACTTTTGAAGGTTCCCTTCGCAGACCCCTCAGCTGGATGTCCCTGTCTGGGCTGAACAGAACAACTGTAAATGCTTCCAAGGTACGAGCTCTGGGGTAAAACCAGCTTTGGGATGGTAAAGTTTGGCTGCAAAGGGCAGGGACTTGGAGTGAGGCTGGGAAGAGAATCCTCCTGCTGAACACTATGCTGATCTGCCAGTGGGAGAGAAGTTTCCTTTGTCAATATCCAGGTGAATCCTGGAAGAATTATTGTTAAATAATAATTACGGAAGTTCTGCCACTTGTAGGAATGTTAAAAGTTGTGTGAGGAACAGCAAGACCTGAGGAACCCTTGTTTCCTGACAGCCACTTCTGTTTTTAAAGCCCTTTCCATCTCCCAGGATTTTCCTTTAAGCAGTGAGACTGGAATTTCCATGAGATTTTCTGTGTGAGCTTCACAGTGCTTCCGTAACCCACTGAAACTCCTGTGTTTCCTGGCTGCCCACAGGAGCTCATGCTGTGCTACTTGATCAGACCTTCTGACATGACTGCAGAGGAGATGTCAACCCCAGAGTGCATGAAGAGAATCAAGGTTCAGGTGAGCGGTTCCTGCTTTTTTGCAGCTCCTTGGGAGAACTGTGCCTCCTTCTTTGCCTTGATTTGGGTTTTGCACACATGGCTGCAATAAAATTAAACTGCTTCATGCCCCAGGTCATGCAAAGTGCTTTGCAGGATCTCTGTAAATTTCATATCTCCTATCTGAATGTGAATGTTGCTGATACAGTGCATGTAAGCATTTAGGGATTCCTAAAAACCCTGTGGAGATGGCAGGGCTAAGGTAAGGTCAGAAATAAAAGGGGGAAAGTGTGTGAGAGTTCAGCTCTCTTCAGGAGCAAACAGTCAGCTACTAGAATATCTCAGTGGCCACATAATACACATCAGTTTTACAGACCCAGTCCCCATCCCTCACTGATTTTCTGTAGCTTTTGGGGTTTTTTCTTTAATAATTGCTGGGTTTCATTTCAGGAGCTGATCGTGTCCCGTTGGGTTTCCTCCCGTGAGCGCAGCGAGCAGGATGAATTTTAACTGACTGCACAAGAAAACCTCACCTTTTAAAAACCATTTCTTCTTGTTTTTTACCTGAGCTCGTGATGAACTGTTGGCCCAGAACATTCTCCACCAACACACTCGCTTGGTGTGTATAAATGCTGTTTAAAATGAGGTGTATCATGTTTACTGGAGAGAATGTTTTACTGAAAAATGTAAGTGAACAGATGAAAAGCTGCATCCCAACTCAAAATATAAAAGAGAAAAAGGTGCACGTTTGAGTGGTGGCTACACTGCAGTCATTAGGAACAGTATTTCTGATATGGCAGCACAAACCTGACTTCAGAGTCTCGGTGAATCAGATTTGATGTGGGGAGAGGTTTGATTGTTGCATTTGGGACTCTGGAACTTCTACAATCACAGCTCAGAACTGAGGAACTCTTCCCAGAGTTTAAATTTATTCCGGGGCCTGGGCACCTTTCCCCATCTGGGTGAGAAGTGTTTCTTCCCTTGGGATTTGCAGCTTCACATTCAGGTATCTGAATTCTACCTTGGCTTCTTTCCTTTACCCTGCAGTTCAGAATGGAAAAAGAAATCTGACAGGCAAAGAGGCTGGATTTATCTGTTGGTATATTTATTAGTAATTAAAGGAAAGGAAATTAGCAGTCAGACAGGGGTGGGGTTTAGCAGCACACAAGCATACGTTCCCTTTTTTCACTCATCAGTAAACAAATGTGACAGAGAAGGCCATTTGTAATTGCTGCAGCTGACGTTCCCACAGTTCATTTGTAAAGCCCTGAACTCCACAGCAGTTCTGATTTCTGGTGTGAAGTGTCTTTGCAGAGCACACAGGGAATGTTAAATCACAAAACATTTTTCCACAGGAATAGTTCCCATGGAAATTCTCTGTCGTGTGTACATTGTGTGTGTGTAACTTCCCTGACAGTATCCTGATCCTCCCTGAGGTGCAGGGTGAAGTTACTGGTTTTTAACCACGTTAAACCTTAACCCCTGAGGCGGAGCCCGAGGCCTTCCTCTCCCATCGCTACTCCAGCAGCAGGCTGTGGGCTCCAGCCACGCTGTCCTGCTCCTGCTCAGCCAAGGGCACGATGTAGACGTCTCTGTGAGCCAGCTGCTGCTGCAGGCCGAGGTACCGCGACGCCTCCCTGGTGCGGGCCAGCAGGAAGCGCTCGGTGAACTCGGCCTTGCTCAGGGCGGCCCCGCCCCGGCCCTGCCGCACGCGGTTGATGAAGGCCAGGCCGAAGGTGTAGCAGTTGTGCTGCTGCTCCTCGTACCTGGGGAAACAGCCCCGCAGCCAGGCAGGGCACTGCCATCACCAAACAGCCCCTGAGCAGGGCACTGCCATCACCAAACAGCCCCTGAGCAGGGCACTGCCATCACCAAACAGCCCCTGAGCAGGGCACTGCCATCACCAAACAGCCCCTGAGCAGGGCACTGCCATCACCAAACAAACAGCCCCGCAGCCAGGCAGGGCACTGCCATCACCAAACCCCCTGAGCAGGGCACTGCCATCACCAAACCCCCTCAGCAGGGCACTGCCACCCACCCCACTCCCAGGGAATGTTTACTCCAGGAATGCTCTCCAGTTACTCCCCCTCCCTCCCAGTGGTTCAGTATATTCCTCACAAGTGGTCCCTCCCAGCCTGAACTCTGAGTGTAAAAATGAGAGGGCTGCAAGGCTTGACAAAAATGAGTTCTTATTTTCTGTACTTCTTTGGCTTTTACCTTGTTAACCTTTGCTCTTCCAGCTATTGTCAGCAGCTCTTTCCTGCAGCCCCAGAGTTAATTGTGTGCCACCAGGGGTGAGTGGGAGCTGATTTCAAATCCTAGCAGTGATTTCTCTACCACCCTTCAGTAAGTGAAAAGCTCTCAAGAAAAACAGATTAGGCTTGGCCTGAACCCAAAGGAGTTACAGGATTAGTTCAGTGCAGTTCCTGCCCACTGAAAAAATAAGCAGAGGATTTTAATTAAAGTTGTTTTCAGTTCAGTGGTCACTGGTGTGGCTGTGAAAAAGGTCACTGTGTCAGGAGGTGGCAGATGGAAACCAGGGAAAGCCAGGAGAAGGATGCACACATCTCTGACTTTCTGCCAGTGATTGATGCCAAGGCACTTTTACTGGGAACTGTAAAAGTGACACAAATTCTGCTGGTTTTACCAGCTCCATAAACGTCTAAAAATTCTGCTCTAAATCAAATTTTCCATCTCCATTGGGGGGGGGGTAGGGGGGGGGGGGGGGGGGGTAATGTTTGATCCCTGAAATGTTACAGTCAGCACATAGAGAATTGCTGGAAAGTGCTTTTGATTTGATGGGTTGTTTTTTTCTTTTATGGTGGCACCCAGGCAGGCTCGGTGTCACAGCTGCTCTCACTGAGGGACAGTCCCAGCAGTGGTGCTTTCCTGCTCTGGCACCACAAGAGCAGAAATCAGCCTGCTCTCCATTTCTCACCACTGACATCAAAAACAACAACAGGGCAAGAATCCCATCGCTGTGCTCAGCCCTTAAATGCAAACACACCTAAAAATAACCATGGAATTGAGCCTGGACTTCTGTACTCAGCAGCACGCTGGTAATGTTTCACTGAACTGGGGCTTTAATGCAAAATTCCTTAAAGCCACCTCTTGCTTTAGAGCTTTTGTATTCCAGCAGCTGAGTTTTACTTCAAATTCAGAACATTCTGTGCAGCCAGGCCAGGCTGAGGCTGATCCAGGTGGGGCTGCCAGGAATGGTGTCCTGAAGGACACCAGGCTCTGAATGACCCCAAACCCCATCCCAAACACACCCACACACCTGTGAGGGAGCCAGGCCTCTTCCAGGGAGAATTCCTCCAGGAGCTTGTCCCACTGCTGCAGGAGCTCCCACATGTCTGGCTGCACCAGGGGGACGCTGATGCACTGCTCCCAGCCACTGCCATCCCTGTGCACGCCCTCCTGGTCGTAGTTGTACACCACACCTGCAAACACAGCACAGGCTCACGGCCAGCACACACACAGCCCTTCTGGGGTTTTTTTCTGACCCAACATCCCCTCAGCTCAGTAGGAAATGCAGTCCTGGCTCCCAGCAAAAACCTGGTCTCCTTCTCACAGTGTAGACTGAAAAAGGTTTGGCTCTTTAGGTAATCAGAGCAACTGAAGGACAATGAGGCTTCATTGTTAACCCCCAAAGGAAACTGGCTTTGTATGAAATATACATCTGATGTTTTGCAGGGTGGATCTACTCTAGGTAGAGCCCAATAGGATTTTTAATGTGCCTTTTAATTTCGTTTTTTTAATTAGGGGTGTTTTTAGAGTTAGCAAAAACTGTGTTAAACTCAAACTCAATTCCTTTAAAGCAAGCCTAGCCTTCATTCTAGGGGTGGAAGGCACCTGTTGATTCCATTCAACGCCTGTTCAATCCATTCAGGGGAATGGATGTGCTCTGGAGCTCTGCTGCAAGGTGGGATCATTCCCAGGGAATGACCCCATGCCGGGATATGCCGAGCTGGAGTGCCCCGGGCAGCAGGGGTGGAGGTGGGGCGCTCCCACAGCCCCGCGGCGCTGCCTACCCTGGGAATTGGTGATGCCCACGTGCAGGTCGCAGTGCCCGTCGTAGCCGCTGCAGGAGCAGGGGGCCGGAGTGTCCCGGGACAGCCCTTCAGCCGTCCCGCCCCTGCCTTCCCCCTGCCCTCGTCTTCCCAATTCATTCCATTTCCTCCTCCTTTCCCTTCCCCCGTCCTTCCCTCTTTGTATTTCCATTTCACTTCCTTCTCCCTTCCTTTATCTTCCATTCCCCTTCCCTCCCCTTTTTTCCGTTTTCCCTTCCCTTTACCTGCCCACTCCCTTCCTCTTTCCCCACCCATTCCCTCGCAGTGCCCGCCCCTTTCCCATCCCTATTCCCCTCCCTTTTCCCTCCCATTCCCTCAGTGCCCGCCCCTTTCCCCTCTCCATTCCCTTCCCATCTCCTTCTCAGTGCCCGCCCTATTCCCATTCCCGCCCCGTTCCCGTGCCATGTTCCCCATTCCCGTTCCCGTTCCATGCCCCGTCCTTTCCCCATTCCCGTTCCCGTGCCATGCCCCGTCCTTTCCCCATTCCCATTCCCGTTCCCGCCCTTTCCCCTCACGCCCGTCCCCGCTCCCGCAGCGCCCCCTGGCGGTTACTCCAGGAAGGTGCCGCGGGTGGGCCTGATGAGGAAGGCGCGGGGCTGCCCGTGGCCGTGCCGGAAGGGGCAGTGCAGGCGGACAGGCGCGGCGGCCAGCCCGGCGCCGCGCAGGTCCCCGCCGCAC